ATCGTCATTCACCGCCCACTGTTCGGTTAAGAACAATTCTTCCTCATTAGATTCTGATCGTTATTAAGCCGGATAACATTTCTCATATGTTGTCATAAGACAGCTGCAGTTTGTAGCAAAACACTGTGGAATTCAAAGGCACCGGAGAATGTACGACTCGGCTAAGCTGATTACATGTAACGCCTGCACACTAACGATTAGACTACCTGACCAACAAACGTGCCGGAGAAGTTGCCGCACTATCACGGCGCTAAGAGTAACTCCTGTAAATTTTAAGTCAGGGTTTAAATCTAAGACAGGAAGAAATAAACAGATTACGACACACGAATAATCAAAACTTTTTCATTAACTTAACACAAAAGTAACATTAAGGGATGTACTGATTTTAGAATGAAAGAGTACAAATATGTGTTGCTTTCCACAGTGACGGGACCTTGTACTTCAACCCAGTGTCGGAACTGGCCATCGTGTCTCTGCGACCTGGCACTCCGTATGCACAGATTGTGGTAAAAGACTCTGAGGCACTGCAGTTCTCATCAGACATCCGGGTTACGCCCAATGACAACTACAACATCTGGTTCATCTCCTCCAAGTTCCAGAAGTACTTCCGCCAGACATACGATCCGAACACCATCAACTTTCGGATTATGAGGATCCCTCGTCATCTTCCTTCGCCCAACAAATCTTTTGCCTTCTTCTAGCCAGCCATTGATTGTCGCACTGAATAACCAGGACACAGTATCTCGGGCTGCAAGAAATTTCTCTGAGTCAAGAGAGTATCAAGAATGGGCTACCTCATATATAACAAGTACCAAATTTTGGTAAAATAAATTTGAAGACAATACGGACGATGTGAACGCTCCCAAATTTCACTTTGCCTGCAAGTCAGACTCCGGCACTCAAAACGATTTTTGAGAACATACTCTTAGCATCGATACACAGCTTATCCTAATATTCTGTGTCAGCTGACAAATCCAGTAAAAGTTGAACAAAGTTGTTTATACATATATACACACAAGCAAAAAGTAGTGTAATTATATGTACATCCTACATGTCAAGGAGAATGGTAATTTAAAAGTATTCATGTCTACCATAACATGTTTAACTTAGCCTGTTATTTTTGTAATTAAATGTCTTTGCACAACTTGCATTATCCTCTTTTGTACAAACTATTTGCAGGGAATGAAATGTACAAACTGTAGGTTTATGATACAGTCAGCTGTATTAACGAGACTGTTTAAAACGTGTTTTGTAAAAACCTTTCTGTAATGACTGATATATCAGAGTGGTGGCTAAATTCAACATCCAAAGCCTGAGGCGTCCTGATCCTCTAAAGTTATGAATAAAACTATTGAAATGTTTTATAGTTCTCGCCGATGTCTGTTCATTTGCCCTACTATTCTTTTAAAAACCAAGCGCGTTACTCTAATAACAGCGAAAAATACTCTTTCAAATATTCTTGATTACTTCTCATAGAAAAGGAAAGTGACTTGACAAAATGACCTCTAGCTCACTGGTTTACTTCGTATCAGAAACAATTCTGAATATACTTTTTTAGGCAACAGGCAGTACCGCTTCGACACATGGAAGGTCCGCCTGAAAGACTTCCGCATACATAGGACAGCACAACACAAACACAGACACAGCGACCTGTCCCGCGCAGTCACTGTTATATTCTTAACCTAAATCTATTAATTAAGAGTCGGATTATTAATGATATTCTAAATAATTACTAGAACGGTGTAGTTTTAATGTATATATATATATATATATATACACACACACACACAAAATTTCACTGTTACAATACAGCACGAACAATATGCAGATACACGAATACAAAGCGCCTAAACAAATGCAACCCAACTAACTGATCTGTGTGATGTTATGCGGAACAGAAAGGCGTACTTGACGTTTTTGTTACCGTCAGCTTAAAGACGAAACATACGTCGAAGCATACGAAGAGCACGACATTGATGAAAAGTTTATAAAGTAGTAAATAGAGCAAAGTCCTTGAGAAACGAACAGTCAAGACATTCGCCGCATTTAATGAAACCTGAAGATTAATTACCGTGTTCACAAAAACCTGCCACCGGTCCCAATCCATAGTCAGATTAATCCAATCCACATCCTCAATTCCTGTTTTCCTAAGAGATATTTTAATATTATCCTCCAATCTACACTTACTTCTTCCAAGTGGTCTCTTCCCTTCATTGTTTCCAACAAAAATGTTGTACTCGTGTAAAGAGTACGCTGAAATTCGAAGGGGGATGTCCCCTATCGCACCTAAATTCCTCAGCATTTTTCTTCCTTTCCATTATCCCGTTCATACCTTTGTATTTTTCCCTCCATTTTTCATATTCCTTTCATATCCCTCTGACCTCTTCACCCTTCATTGCTTCTATAAGTCATCCCTTTTCATTCTCGTTAAGTATTTGTTGAATGTCAGTGTCAAGGTCACAAAATAAATCTGTCTGTAAACTACATTTGGAGGCCTCGTACTGAATGTTTTGCTATCCAGTGCCATTACTGAGAACAGTTCCAACAAAAACCGAGTCGCGTTATTTTCCGAAACGTTCTCCCAGGAGATCCGCGCCCATTTCCCATGTGAGTGCCAACACCGACTGAAAACGTCAAAGCGTATTTACGTAATAGACTGTCTGTATTCCATAGAACTGTGTCGTTCCCATCTGTTGACAAGGGAAGTTCAATGCGTAGGCATGAGCGATTGATTAGTCATGGGAATCTTTACTCGAAGTTCATTTCGTTACACTGAAAACTAAATATGATGTATAGTTCGCGTTTTGTGTGTATCGAGAAGCGAGCAAATTTCCCTATAGATTTAATGTCAATGCGGTTACGTTTCTGAGTGTAAATATTTTCAATTACAAACTTGATAACCGTGACCTCTGGAGGTTATTAAATAATGAAGCAACATTCTAAAAATATAAAAGTGATGTAAATAATATGTAACAATTCTGAATCTAAACTTATTTACTCAGCTCAGATGACCACTACCGACAATGATTATCATTGTATGTACAATCACCATGTTACTAGCAAAATAGCACTGTTTAGTAACTAAGTAGGACGTAATAAATTCCTTGGTCCAGGTAAGAAAGGTAAACATCTGAAGTGTGTGTATGATCTGAAGCTTTCGCGGCGACTAAGTATAATGAATTATTCTCGGGCTACCAGCCAGTTAACTCCCGAACTCCAATACGCTGAGGACGAGGACAAAGATGGTTCTTGAAACGTTGGTGTTTTCTTCAATAAACAACCTTTCGCGGCTGATAGCCCGAGAAGAATTCATTGTGTCTGAAATGTAGTTGCAACAGAAGCATCTGCAAAAAACGATGGTCGGTTAGAATGAGAGATCAGATTTCTCAGGCATGAACCAGGAAGAGGTCAGATTTCCTGAATTGTGGTTACCAAACAACCTGTAAACGCGGATGTTAGTGGATGAAGGATCAGCTGGCTGAATGACAGAACGATGAAATGCAAAGCGATCGACGATGGAAAAGCATCTGTCAAGTTTCGATCCGAGGGCCGTCGGGATTCTTGTTTCGAGTTTTATGTTTGTACATGCGAGTTCTTCTCTGGACTGGTAATGTAGAGCGTTCCTGAACTACCAACGACAACTCTTACCGGGTTTCTGCTGAAAAACCATTTTGTCAGGCTCAACAACAAACACAAGACAATAGGAAGAATACGAGGTGCGATCGGAAAGTTTCAAGACTGCGCCTATAAAAACCCGTACACTTATCTCAGGTATTAAATTCATCCATCACCCTCGAAGTAGTTCCCCTGGGAGTGAACACAACGATCCCAGCGCCGCT